CTGTCGTTAGACTCAAGGCACCCCTCGGAAAATGCCAGCTCTTAGCTTGCACTCTTATTTTGTGTGCCGAAAAATAATAGAGCAGTTTTTCTGGTTGCAAAGAATTCAGAAAGACCACAGCAGGTCAGAATGTGTTAACACTATGGATTCCTAATTGAAATCTCCAGGCTTATCTTGCGAATCATGTTGGTACATCTATCAGCGCTAACACTGAGGGGCATCCTGGTTGCAAATCACAGCTGTATAGCTACTGTGAGTCAGCAGAGCTATTCAGACCAACATCGGTTGAGGTTCTGGTCTTGGGGAGCAGAGCTGGACTGAACCCAGTGTGTTCTCTACAGGGTGATTAGCTCATCATTCCCTTCCCTAGCTGGTCAGCAAATCCACCCTGCAACAACAAAAATCAGCCCTCACAACCCCCCTCCAAAACCACAGCCACCCTTCTGCAATAACCAACTTCCATGTCAAGCTCCTAAAGCACTGCTATTGAGAATGGTGCTTTCAAGAAATGTATTTCAATGATTAAAAAATATACCTTCGCGCCTTTTAAATTGGAAAATAAATGAAGTGCCTGCTGCTTTGCGCTGCAGATGGAAACGAAGAAGTATAAAAATCTATGTCCCATGGATTTTCACAGTCTCTTCCCAAAGTTTGCAGGCCAAATTCTCAACTGATGTAAATCAGCATTGATTGCAATGGAGACAACGGGCCTACCGGCTGAGAATCCGACGTAAGCCCCCGTGTGCGCTCTCTTGCCTGTGCTTTGTGAGTCAATAAACAAACTTGAAAATAGCATTCATCTGCCATTTATTCTGCTTAATTATTTAAGCTTCAGATTCTGGGACAGGAATAATAAAGAAGAGATTTACCATCCACCACGATTGCTGGAAGTGTCGCATATTATTTCCCTCCTTACTTTTTAATCTCTCGCTCTCTCCCTCTCTTTTTTTTTTTTTGTTCGCCAAATTGAATCAATTTATTAAAGCTGTTGCAAAATTGATTTGTTCTGATCTATCGACGGTGATGGAGAGAAATGGGCTGTTCTGGTCTCCTGTGTCCCCCAAGTCCTGCTCATTAAGGAGGATAATGCTTCGCCATCAAGGGAGCCGTTTGCAGCATGCCTGAGTGGTGAAGACTGATTAAAGGCAAGGCACGTGACTGTAGAGGGTAAACGATGCTCAGAATGATGAACAGCAAGAGGGATTTAACTGCAAGATTTTCCAATGCGAAGGGCTGAAGCCACAGAACAAAGGTCTCTGCAGAAGTTTAGCAAAACTTCTCCACTCGTCCAGGACGTAC